TTTTTTAAAAAAAGGGTAATGTTTTATTCTGTTTTTATATATGTTGGAAGCCTCCCAGAGTAGCTGGGACAAGCAAGTAAGATGGGCAGGATATAAAACAACAACAACAACAACAACAACAACAACAACAACAACAACAACAACAGAATAAGATAGCCCTATTTTCTTCAGAGAAATGTTAGAGGATTTGGGATATGCACAAGATGATGAGGTCAAAACATGAGGTAACTTTTGCCACAAGTTGCGGAAGAGGAGAGGAAGAATTCAACATCAGGGTGGGGGTATTTTCAGTGGCAATGCCACATTTTATCATAACATAAACTTCCACCCGTAATAATACAGGTGTTCCAACTTCTTATTGCTTAAACAAATATCCATGGTGAAACAGCAACCATTTTGGGCCTCGGTTATAAATCACTGCAGCAAGTACATTGTTAAGGACATTATTGGATTACAGATCTCTTTAACTTTAGTTGTTTGACCTTCTTATGCGTTTTGATATGTTTGTAACTGATTGCCAGAAGGTTCTCATTAGAGAGGAGAAATCAGCAATAAAAAAACACGATTTTGCCATCTCCAGACACTTCTTAAAGGTCAGGAGGCCAAATAAACAACTTCCTGCAGCTGTGGCTACATCTGGCACACGACCCACTGCAGAGAGCGTGCTCTGGGAAGATAAACATATCTGCTTGTATCTCCTTGGTCTTTCTATACATTTGGATAAGGCCAAAAGATTGAACTTGACCCTATAGTTTCACCAGTAATTAACTGGGGGGGGGGGTGTCTGTCAGGATGTAAATGAATAAAAAGTTTACTCTGGACACCTGGGACTAAAGGTTCACTTCCCATGATCTTCTTGTATCCGCCTGTGGGTTTTAGATCTTCCACAGGACATAGTGCTGCTACCAATTCCTGGTTTTGCAAAGATATCAGCCTGGAAAATGGCCTCATAATTTTGAGTAAGAGTTGAGGAAATGTAAATGTCCTGAGCTGTATGGTACAGACCAAAGGTGTGGGGAGGACTGGGAGCTAAATGTGATGTGGGTGACGCTGTGGCCTAAACCACTGAGCCTCTTGGGCTTGCTGATCAGAAGGTTGGCGGTTCGAATCCCCACAATGGGGTACGCTCCCATTGCTCTGTCCCAGCTTCTGCCAACCTAGCAGTTTGAAAGCACGCCAGTGCAAGTAGATAAATAGATACCGCTGTGGTGGGAAGGTAAACGGCGTTTCCGTGTGCTCTGGTTTCCATCACGGTGTTCCGTAGCACCAGAAGTGGTTTCATCAATGCTGGCCACATGACCTGGGAAGCTGTCTGTGGACAAGCACCTGCTCCCTTGGCCTGAAAGTGAGATGAGTGCCGCAACCCCATAGTCACCTTTGACTGGACTTAACCATCCAGGGGTCCTTTACCTTTTACCTTTACCTCTCTGTCTGGATCACAGGACTCCCCCAGAAACACACCTTCTCCCCCAGACCATGCTTTGCATCTTCCTTGAGTGTTAATGCTTGGTTGAATAGGTCCTTAAACTCTGATAATGCTTGGATGCAGGGCAGACAGGGATGTGTCAGTGTGCGTAGAAAGAAACCGACTGTATAAAGGTAAAATTAACATTCACTGCTCTGTCCACTTCTGCTTCTGGCTGTGTCCATCACTAGCACACAGGGGTGCCAACTTGAATAAAATATTGGGAGGCCCGGGTAAGTCCCACCCAACATAATCGATCACATGACATGGCACAAACACACCATTTGAATGGCAATGCCCATTAAATTGTGTGTGTGTCCCAGCCCCTTCAAATATTTTATTGGAGGGGGGGCGGGCGAAGGGACCTCAGCCCCTAGGGGTTGGCTCCTATACTGGCACATGAGTCCCAGAAAGTTGCCTAGAAAGGAATGTGGCCCTCAGAGGAGGAGGAGTTTGGATCTGATATCCCGCTTTATCACTACCCGAAGGAGTCTCAAAGCAGCTAACAATCTCCTTTCCCTTTGTCCCCCACAACAAACACTCTGTGAGGTGAGTGAGGCTGAGAGACTTCAGAGAAGTGTGACTAGCCCAAGGTCACCCAACAGCTGCATGTGGAAGAGCGGGGAAGCGAACCCGGTTCACCAGATTACGAGTCCACCGCTCTTAACCACTACACCACACTGGCTCAGACTGAAAAAGGTGATAGAAATGGAAGGGATAACTTACTTGGAAGCAGAGAGCACACATAATTTAAGTCCCCACGGGTGGTTCACTCAGGATCATTGAACATATGTTAAAAAAAGTCGCCTTTGACTGGACTTAATTAAAGAGAGCTTTGTCTATGGAGCTGTGGAAAAGCATGAGACTCTTAATCTCAGGGTTGTGGGTTTGAGTTCCAGCTTAGGCAAAATATTCCTGCATTGTAGGGGTTTGAAATAAATGTGCTCCCTTCCAACTCTGCAATGCTATGATTCGAAGAAAGGCTCGTCCATCTGTGAGACTGTTAAAGCAATTCTAGAGAGACTGGAGGATCTGTAGAGTAACTAACATTTCTCAAGCGCATAGGGTGAGCAATTTGTCATGCATCTGGAGGGCTTGGCAGGGCTAAACTACATGAGGAGATCAAGTGGCTAAAGCCACTCTGTGATGCTATGGCTCAAATTAAGTAATTATCCTTTTTTCATGTGTGGTATTAGTGAGCAAGTCTGACCATGCGAAATAATTGCACTGGTAGTGAGCATAGTAATTTTTTTTTATGATGATGCCAATTTTAATTCTGTTTCCTAGCCAATGAGCTCTGGAAGATGTACTTGGTAGGATGTTTATGCTCTGGTGTTTTTTAATTAAATTGCTGACTGAACACTTGGTAAGATCACCAAAAGTTTTGTATTTCCTGATTAGCATCTAAAAAACCTGGAAGGGACTCAAGGATGCCTGGAGGTTGCCACCAGGAAAGACTGAAAGAGCCCACCAGTGGCTGATAAGCCTTAAGGGTGATAAATCACAATCCCTACATCTGATTGAGGATTGCATCTGATCAGTTGAGTTATCTTTAAGAAAAGAGGAACTGCTATGTTGGGTCTGGCAACTGTAAATGCTAATGTGGCTTTATAGCTATGGGAAGTGATTTTGTTACCAAAAAGAGAGAAAGAAATAAAATCTTTTATGGACTGGTGCTAGAAGAAAGGTTTGCTGCTAAGTGCTCAGGTATTAGCTGTTAGGAGGAATTTTCAAACTTGCTATATCTTTCTTGGTGAAGTTTGGCATGACTTGTGGATCACTTTGCTGTGTTGCCCTGTAGATTTACCAAGTCAGAATATGTTCCTTTAGGCTGGTTCATCCACAGCCCCAGAATAAGGCAGTCTGCATATTAAACCTTTAATGTGTTGTTGTTGTTTAGTCGTTTAGTCGTGTCCGACTCTTCGTGACCCCATGGAGCACGCCAGGCACTTCTGTCTTCCTCTGCCTCCCGCATGGTCAAACTCATGCTGGTAGCTTCGCGAACACTATCCAACCATCTCGTCCTCTGTTGTCCCCTTCTCCTTGTGCCCTCCATCTTTCCCAACATCAGGGTCTTTTCCAGGGAGTCTTCTCTTCTCATGAGGTGGCCAAAGTATTGGAGACTCAGCTTCAGGATCTGTCCTTCCAGTGAGCACTCAGGACTGATTTCCTTCAGAATGGAGAGGTTTGATCTTCTTGCAGTCCATGGGACTCTCAAGAAACTCCTCCAGCACCATAATTCAAAACCTTTAATGTAGTGGTGTGGATATGTTTTAAGCCCAAGGGATACATTCCATTCTGGGCAGCCTCCCAAGGGCCACATTGTGGCTGGGGCCAGAGGCAACAGTGGCTGGATCAGCAAGTGTAAATTTCACCTTTGTACAGTGGGCTAGTTGCGTACCCAGATGCAGCAACCCTTTCCCTGGGAGCCAGGCCATTAAGGGTGACATGACGAGACAAGACAACATTCTTTGGGATTAAAATTGGCCACAACTTTAATGATCTCAGAAATAGGTGAACCTTGTCTATATGGGGGAACAGAAAACTGCCTGTTTTCCCATTGTCCTTACGGATATTTCTCCACTTCCGATGCACAGACACTCTTGGAAGCAGGAAGGTTATCTGCCTGAAACCTTGGGAGTGTTGCTTGCCAGTTCTGTGGTTAACCCCAAAATAGCTATTAGGGTAAATTAGGAAGAAGTGGCTGTGGAAGGGGTTGAAAATATCTACTCATCATCCAATAGTTTGCCACTTAATGTCATGATTCTTATAAGGAATAACCAAAGATTATCTAACAGTGTTGCTGTTTCTAACATTTTATTATCTTTTCATGCAGATCTGACTAATGGATATTCATTTCTTTTCTACAAATGGCCCCTTTGGAGGTAAACAGCAGCTGTGGTGTATTTTGGGCAGGAAAATGGCATGGGGGAGGAGAGAGTTAATCTCCTTGCCATGCAATGTAGTCCTGATCTGGAGCAGGACTGTGAGTTGTTGTTGTTGTTGTTGTTTAGGTGCCAAGCATACTTTTTGTAGTGACCCTTAAAATTGATTACGGAGATGGAAATTGTTCCTTTCTCAGAAACAAGATGCTGTGAAGGAAAGCAATTACTCAGCATTCTGATTCCATGTACAGTGGTACCTCGGGTTAAGTACTTAATTCGTTCTGGAGGTCCGTTCTTAACCTGAAACTGTTCTTAACCTGAAGCACCACTTTAGCTAATGGGGCCTCCTGATGCTGCTGCGCCACTGGAGCGCGATTTCTGTTCTCATCCTGAAGCAAAGTTCTTAAGCCGAGGTACTATATCTGGGTTAGCGGAGTCTGTAACATGAAGCGTCTGTAACCTGAAGCGTATGTAACCCGAGGTACCACTGTATATGTTCCTGGGTGTGCAACAAGAAGCTGTAGGTGTGTTAGGCAGAGCCAGTAAGGTGCAATGGATAGTGGGTTGCATCGAGGAGAACCCAAGTTCAGACCCTTGTTTATTTGCATGCTGTTAGCCTTAAACAATCTCACAGCAATATATCAGGGGGGGAAATGAGTTCATGCATATTGCCACGATCAACTCTGAAGATGCTTGGGATGTATATCTTGGTGGTTGGAAAACTTCTTGTTGTGGCAGGCATTCTCATTCTTTCTGCATCCTAGAAGTCTTCACAATATCAAAAGATGTGAGTGTAAATAAACAGTGTCCTGATTTCTGGTCCCAGAATAATGGAGTTTTGCATAATGGAAGGCCAGCTCTAGTGTGAACAAGAGCAGTTGGAAATGGAGGTTACACCAAATGGCAGGAAGCCATTTATCTGGCTTTGTTGCTGGTGGGAGTGAAAACTTGACAGGACAATGCTATCTGCAGGGCTCACAGACAGCCAGTTCCTGCTCATCTCCCTCATGTGAGGACTTTCATTGATCTTACCGTGACAACTAACGTGGATAAGGTGAACGAGCTTTGTTCCTTTAATTATAAAGGTTTAGTAATTGGCTGTCCTGGTCAGATCTGTTTCACTGCAGACTGGAAGCCAGGGGATTTCATGGTATAATAATGAAATGCAGAAAAATCATCAGTGTCAAATTAAAAGAGAGAAAACAACTTTGTGTGTGTTCTGCTAGATGCCCCCTTTCTGTAATCTCCATTCAAAGCAAGGTGTTTGAGTGAATTTTCTGAAGATGTTTAAGCATGAGACATAGCCAGCCTTCCCAAACACTCAGCTCACTTTAAAGCATCTTTCTCTTCATGTCCCACAGAACTTCTTGAGGGTACGTTCATATGTGGTGGACCTGTAAAAGGGTAAAAGAGTATTGGGAAATAATTCATAACGAATTGAAAAAAATGTTTAAAAGTACTTTCCCAAAAAAACCCAGAGTCCTTTTTGTTGGGGATAACTCAGATGGAAATTCCCAGGTGTCAAAAAAGGTTATTTATGTATGCCACTACTGCGGCCTGTGTTCTGTTAGCCCCCAAATGGAAAACGAGTGAAGTCCCAATGAAAGAAGAAATGGCAACTTAAACTGATGGAATATGCGCAGCTTGCTGACCTAACATATAGAATAAGAGAACAAGAAAAACATATGTTTAAAGAAGGTTGGAAAATGTTTGCTGAATATATGGGGGAAATTGTGTACACTTGAAAACGCTGGCAGCATTAAGATAAATTCAACCGTGTAAACAAGTTTTGATGGATGTAATAATGGAATACTGAATGGTTTAGTCAATATAAAATATGCAGGGATTTATGTTATACAAAATGAACCATGGAAAGAGAAGGAGGGGAGTCATTGACACTTTAAGGTTGTTTAAATGAGTATTCTAAATCGTAAAACAGAAAATGTAATAAAAATTCTACACACAAAAAAAATAACTTCTGTTGTGGTGCTTTTGCATTTCACCCAGGACCCTTAACTGTCATACAGAGAAATTGCCCTTTCCACACCAGCTACCATAGTTGCTGCAATTGTAAATGATGTCTGGAATGAGGTTGCTTGCCGCTACTGCAGAGCTTTCCAAACCTTTCATGTTGGAGACACACTTTATAGACGTGCATCATTTCACGTCGTGCATCATTTCACGACACAGTTATTCAGTTTTACTAGCAACCTGGAGGTTAAACTAACCCCTTTCCAGCCCCAGGAGGAGTGCAGGGAGTGTTTGTGTGACACACCTACACACTGCAGCTGACACACGAACATGTCACGACAGAGTTTGAAAATCCCTGCTCTATTGGATAGAGCTTATGAAATTACCATCAATATATCAAGGTCCCAGTTATGGAAGGAAGGATCTCCTGGTTTTTGTTTTTAAAAATCCTCTTTCGATGTCTCCAAGTTCTAGTACAGTGGTACCTCGGGTTAAGAACTTAATTCATTCTGGAGGTCCGTTCTTAACCTGAAACTGTTCTTAACCTGAAGCACCACTTTAGCTAATGGGGCCTCCCGCTGCCGCCATGCCACCACTGCACGGTTTCTGTTCTCATCCTGAAGCAAAGTTCTTAACCCGAGGTACTATTTCTGGGTTAGCGGAGTCTGTAACCTGAAGCGTCTGTAACCTGAAGCGTATGTAACCCGAGGTACCACTGTATATGTTCCTGGGTGTGCAACAAGAAGCTGTAGGTGTGTTAGGCAGAGCCAGTATGGTGCAATGGATAGTGGGTTGGGTCAAGGAGAACCCAAGTTCAGATCCCTGCTTACCTGCATGCTGTCAGCCTTAAACAATCTCACAGCAATATGATCGGGGGGGGGGGGATGAGTTCATGCATATTGCCACAATCAACTCTGAAGATGCTTGGGATGTATATCTTGGTGGTTTGAAAGCTTCTTGTTGTGGTAGGCATTCTCATTCTTTCTGCATCCTAGAAGTCTTCACAATATCAAAAGATGTGAGTGTAAATAAACAGCGTTCTGATTTCTGGTCCCACAATAATGGAGTTTTGCATAATGTTCTTAACCCGAGGTACTATTTCTGGGCTAGCGGAGTCTGTAACCTGAAGTGTCTGTAACCTGAAGCGTATGTAACCTGAAGCGTCTGTAACCAGAGGTATCACTGTATTATGAAAAAGGAAGATCAACTTATCCTAATTCACTTTCTTCACATTATGAATACTGTAGTTTTATACACTTTGATCATATAAGATATGCATCTTATATTTGGTTTACTTTCATCAGAGTTAAGATACGATTTGCATTATTCTGAATTCATTCTTCCTGGTGACATCCAAGAATGTTTTTAAAGAGAAATTAAGGCAGTTATTGGCTTCCTGGTCCCACTCTGAGTTGCCATTGCTGTTTTAACAGGATAATTAATTTAAAAAGCTCACAATGGGTTCAGCTCTTTTTCCTTTAAGAACTGACATGATTAATTAAAGAAAAATGTATCTGAAGTGATGAGATATTTGCAGCATATTTTATTGTATTTTTATTACAACTCCATGCGCTTTGGGGTGGTGTGGTGAGGGAATCTATTGTTTTATGTTATCACAGCATTCAATAGGAATTCCCCAAAGAAATGTGTAATTGGTTGAAAACATTTTTCATGGTATGCAAAGAAATAATTGTGGATGGGATAAGATTACGGGGTTAGGAGGAAACAATAAAAAGTTCAAATATTGTACTGGGCATGATTGGGTGGAATAATACCAGTTTTTCATTTCCTTTAAAATCATATCATTATTTCAGGCTTCATATTTCTGCCAGACCTTGTAGTGTTGGTAAATGGTTTCCATGTATCATGTTACTATAAATTAGAAATCCCACACTGAAAATTAACTTATAAGATGAAGCTGTTATACTTATTTATAACATTTATACCCCAGCTTTCTCTGAGGGTGGCATACATGATTACCCCCATTTGATCCTTACAGCAGCCCTGTGAGGTACATTAGGCTGAGAAACTGTGACTGAGCCTAGGTCACTCAGGAACTTCATGCCTAAATGGAATTTTTAACCCTGGTCTCCTATGTCCCCACCAGGCCATGCTGACTTTCATACTCTCGCCAGAGTGGTGCATGCTCTGGTTATCTTGGACTACTGCAATGCGCTCTACGTGGGGCTACCTTTGAAGGTGACCCGGAAACTACAACTAATCCAGAATGCAGCAGCCAGACTGGTGACTGGGAACGGCCGCCGAGACCATATAACACCGGTCTTGAAAGACCTACATTGGCTCCCAGTACGTTTCCGAGCACAATTCAAAGTGTTGGTGCTGACCTTTAAAGCCCTAAACGGCCTCGGTCCAGTATACCTGAAGGAGCGTCTCCACCTCCATCGTTCTACCCGGACACTGAGGTCCAGCACCGAGGGCCTTCTGGCGGTTCCCTCACTGCGAGAAGCCAAGTTACAGGGAACCAGGCAGAGGGCCTTCTCGATAGTGGCGCCCTCCTTGTGGAACGCCCTCCCACCAGATGTCAAAGAGAAAAGTCTGGTAGTTCCCTCACGGAGGGAAGCATTCACCACCCCACGAAGCCCATCGCCCAGCCCTTCCCGGCTAGCTTTTATAAGCCAGGATGGGCAAGGATCCAGGAGACAGGTGGTTGGTTTCACTCGTCCAAGCAGCCTGTCCACATCCTCGGAGGTAACAGATTGGAATTGATCCCACGCAATTTGACTAGACAGGACTCTAGCACTCTCCCGCCCTGGCCCTGCTCCCACGGTGGCGTCTACCTCTTCCCGAATCTGAGCGACTTTATCTGCAAAAAACTTTGCAAAATCATTGCAGGAGATCATGTGGCCCGTACTGGGCCCCGATGTAGCAGGTGGTTCCGCTAAATTGCGGACCACCTGAAAAAGTCTCCTGCTGCTGTTTTCTGCAGATGCAATAGAGGCGGCGAAGAAGGCCTTCTTCGCCGTCGCTACCGCCACTTGGTAGGCTCGACACTGAGCTCTAACCTGTGTCCGGTCAGCTTCAGAATGGGTCATCCGCCACCGGCGCTCTAGCCGTCTCAACGATTGTTTCATTGCCCTCAGATCCGTGGAAAACCACGGGGCTGTCCGGGCTCCATGCAATCGGAGAGGGCGCTTCGGAGCCAAACAGTCAATAGCCCTGGTTAACTCCACATTCCAGCGGGCCACCAGGGAATCAGCTGAAAGGCCATCAACATGGGATAAAGCATCCCCTACCACTCTCTGGAAGCCATTTGGATCCATTAAGTGGCGGGGGCGGACCATCCGAATCGGTCCCACCTCCCTGCAGAGGGGAAGGGTCGCGGAGAAGTCAAGTTGCACCAGGAAGTGGTCTGACCATGGCACTTCTTTTGTTTCGCTTTTATTTAGTGTCAGAACACCAACATCCATGGAGGTAAACACCAGGTCCAAGGCATGTCCGCGGCTATGGGTTGGGCCAAAGTTATTCAGGGACAGCCCCATGGAGGCCATGCTTTCCACGAAGTCCCGAGCGGCCCCTTGTAAGGTCGTGTCGGCATGGATATTAAAATCCCCTAGGACAACCAAACTAGGTGTCTCCAGGAGAACATCCGCCACGACCTGAAGCAGCTCGGGCAGGGAATCCTTGGTGCAGCGGGGAGGTCGGTACACCAAAAGGAATCCTGTACTGCCCCTATTGCCCAACTTCCAGAACATGCACTCAGAGAACTGGGTCTTCCTAACAGGACGCCTGGTGCAAACTAATGACTTCCTAAAAATCACTGCAACCCCCCCTCCCCGCCCACAAGGCCTGGGTTGCTGTGCGTAAGAGAAACCCGGTGGACAAGCAGCGGCAAGGACAGGCCCATCTGCTTCATCCAACCAAGTCTCTGTTACACAAGCCAGGTCAAATCCTCCATCCATGATCAAGTCATGGATGGCAGTGGTCTTATGAATCATTGACCTGGCATTGCACAGCAGCACCTTCAGGCTATGTGGGTATCCCTTGCTGATTCTAGTATCCGTCCGGACAGGACCAGACCCGGAGGCAGGGATAGTCCTCAGACAACGACTAAACCTGCCTCCTCTGTAATGACATGGTCTGGTCTTAGCGTAACTCCTCCTCCTACCCGTGATCACTGAGATCGGTTGTCCCAGCGCATCCCCCTCTGTGGAACATACCCCAGCCATTTTGTTGGCTGGGACCCACTCCCCGGCAGCCCTGACCCTTCCCCTTAAGAACAAAATAAGACCTTAAAACAATAAAAACAAAAACAAACAAACAAACAAACAAAAAATTCAGAAAACAAAAAGCAATACAAATGAAAAACTATAAAAATTACAAATCCATTAAAATCAAACAAATTCCCAACTAAACATCCATCCCACCCCCATCCCCGTCCCCACATATACAAAAAAATAAAAGG